GTATTGTAGGTCGAGGTGTGATCCTAGTCCTCCGAGCTTCATGGTTCAATCGCTCCTCTTGAAGTCGTGCAAAAGAGATGGCTGCCATAAGCGTGTATGGTTGTCGCGCCTTAACTTCTCCCCGGATCTCCGGCTTTAAGCCCTCAATAAAGGTCCCCAATAGCTGTTTTTCAGACCAATCACGAGTTTGATTAGATAACATTTCAAACCTGGTTTGGTACTCCTAAATGGTGGAGGTTTGTCGGATCTTTGCTAGTTGTCCGTCAATGTTCTCGTAATAAGTTGGTCCGAAGCGGATCAGTAGTCCTTTTAATTGTCACCATGAAATGACTCCATAAGTGTGTTCAAACTAGTCAAACCACTGTATGGCATCCCCTTCAAGATGTATAGCTACAATTTCCATCATGGATGCATCCGCAGTTTTATGGTACCGAAAATATTGCTCCACGCGCAAGATCCAACCAATTGGGTCTCCTTCTTCCCATCTAGGGAAGTCCACTCTCATGCGCGAATAGTTGGGGTCGGTCATAGAGCCTTCCCTCTCTTGGAAGTCATCTCTTTGGGCATGATATGATTGGTTAGAGCTCTCTCTCCTTGATGTGATTTCTTCGGGCTTGGTGGTCGACCCAAACTGAATTCGGTAAGGAGAGTCCGAATCTTATTCTTCATTCGTGCCTCGAAGGCTTCAAATTTAGCATTGATTGCCTCCTTAGATGCCATAGCATATGACTCCAAATCTGTGATGTTAAGATCTCTCTTTTATTGACGGGTTAAAGGCATGTATAGGTTGAGAGAAGTGATGGTTGAAAGGGTTGGTGGATTGGTTTGGACAGAGAAAATATAGTATCAAGATCAAACAAACAGTGCTATGCGGTTGAAATTCTGCAATGTATCTTTCGTTGTAGAGATGAAAACTTTGTGACGAAAAGTTTATGTAGTAATATAGGAACAATTTTTTTTTTTTTGGATTTTCGGATAGGGATAACTAAATTGCAGCAGTAGTAAGGTAGGAAACCAGAACCTGTTGCAATTCACGTGGAGATCAAAGGATGATCCGCGGTGGTGGAGATAATGACGGAATTTGACGACGATCTTTTAAGCAATTGTAGGAATTGCTTTGGGCGGTTGTGGAGGGTTGATGGATGGCTATGGAAGGGCAGCGAGATGCCAAGAACACTGTTCTAATACCAGGTGTTAGAACCCTTATAGATTCTAAACTTGGGGTTGATCTCTTTAGGGGATCGGCCTCCTTGGAACTCTATAGGGGTTTCTCCCTCCAAGTTGCTGCTCAAAGGCTGCAGAAAAGATTCATCTATTGCTTAAGAAAAGAGAATGAATACATGGTTATTTATAGGGCTTCTAAACCCTAACTCCTAATAGGATTCCTACTTAAGACTCTTACTTCTAACCAACTCCTAATAGGACTCCTACTCAAGACTCCTATTCCCTTACAACTCCTAATTCTTCTCTAAGAAAAAACCTCCTACATGAATGTCCCTCTCAATTAGGACTCTCCTAGCTAGAGTCCTAACAGATTCACATTGCAAAAAGAGGAGTATCGTCGCTTTATCTATTGTGTGGATCACCACTAGAGAGAAGGATATCTGACTTTCTTCATCTACAGACTTGGATTTATATTTTCGGGGATATACGATCTCTCCCAAGTAAAACATCTCACACGTGTTATGTAATTTTTTAATTTTATGATTTTTTCACGCACCAATCATCACACGACGATCAGATATTATTATTTAGGAAATCAATTTTATTTTTATTTTTTCGATAGTTTCCAACTAAGAGTACTATCATTGTTCCAAATAATACTACTGTCAACAACTCTAAAACGACACAACCCACCCCATCTGTTGACCTAGGCAACACTAATGGGCTGTCAAGCTTTGTGAGAGACCATAATAACCGGATCCAGCCCATGGTACCACCACCTAATGGGCTGTCAAGCTTTGTTGGAGACCACAATAACCGGACCCAGCCCATACCAACCCAATGCAGCCGTTAACTTGACTTTAAATAAGGCTTCAAAACCTTTCGATATGTTATCTACTCTTTCAATTCAATATATCGTCTGATCTTCTAATATTTTATTCGATCGTTCTATCCTCAAAAATATCACTCAATACTTGTGTGCTATCGACTAATGCGAATGGGAGACGGTGGAGCTTCGTCTATTGGGGGTGCTACGAATCGTGAGCACTCTGATTGCCAGAGGCATCATGGCCGGCTAAGGCGCATCAGCAAGTACCGAGGTTGGCGGTTATAGTCGGAGAGTTTAACTTGGTCACGAACTGGAGAAGTTGTGGGGAGAAGGGAATACATCATCCTGGTACATGTCATGAGGCTTTATTGGGCTGACCTTAAATTAAGCTCGCTTCATCCCATGCCGAACATAATGTATCCTTATTGGGGAAAAGGTAGGAAAGAATTGTTCAAATAAGTAGTTTGCATATCTGTTACGAACCTATCATTATAGGAGGAAATGGTCTTATTTATTTATTTAGTTTGTTGTTTCCCTCTGTGATATCTGTTACGTACCCATCTTTTAGTATTTGCCTGGTCCCAAAAATTTTAATGCCGTGAGCGTAATTGAGCTATTTACTTTTGCTAAAAGAATACTGTTGTTAAAAAGTTAAGAGGGTCTTTACTACATAAATATTTGAAGAAGATTTCTTTATGAAAAAGTAGCTAAGATTCCTTTTTCGTTGTCATCTGTACAGACAATATGCATGAGATACAGACATGGAAAATGAACTGCCAGTAATCCCACTGCCATATGCCAGCATATTATCCTTAAACATTGTCTTTAACGATGGATGACGATTTTAATGCTGTTTGATAAAATAAGCATCCTTGAATGTGAATCAGGGAATAACTGAATTATGATGCCATTATTTGAATTAAACAAAGATGATATATCTCATTGGAATGTATGTGGAATCTTTTCATAATTTCAGGTAATTTTTTACATTAAATTGCAGAAAACACACATGGATTTCTCACCTGGAAGGCTGGCCATTTTTTGGAGGAATCCTCGCCTTCCAGAGTTGGGCAAAAAATGAGAGTAATTCTGTGTCATCCTCATGGTTCTGCATGCTTCAAGGCATCAGCTTTTTACCAAGATGAGCAATTGCAGAGAAAGGGACAGGGAGGTACTACCTTGGGGCACAGATGGAGGCACTTTCAGGGTGAGATCAATAGCGTCCCCCATCAGCTAGCTACTCACCCACACACCCTAAAATTCAGGGCTGTACCTGTCAAAAAAATCATGAAAGGTCAAGAAACCTTACATAGACTAGTTGTTTGCTAGTTAAAATTATGAAGTTAGGTCTCATTGTCTGTCCCCAGGGTGAAGCATCAAGGAGAAGATAACTGATGCTAGTTAAAAATATGAAATTAGAAAGCAGGATGAGCTTTCTAGGGACAATTGCATTTAGGTGAACTGGAGCACCACTGAGAACTTTAAGGAGCAATGTGATCTCTCACAAGCCTACGTGTGGGTTTCATCATGCATGTGCCTCATTCATTAAGTCTAAAAGGTGACACCAACCACAAGTGTGACTTAGTCAACCTAAATAACATGTACTTTTCTTATCTCCAAAGAGGATTTGGCACAAACCAGAAGTTTACATTTACTGAAAGGTTTACCTCGCAATTTCATGACTACTTTCATCTGGGTCTTGCTTTTGTTGGTGAAGACTGTACAGAACCAGCAGAATCCGGATGTGATCGCTTAACAAATGGGTGTTTTAACAGCTGAGCAGCAGAGGGCCTATCTTCTGGATTGACCTGTAAGCACTTTCTAACGAAATCATGGGCCTCTATGGATAAGGAGTTAGGGATATTTGGCAGTTCACCATGACCAATCTTATAGAAAGCTTCTATCTGCAACGATAGTTGTCAGAAAGAAAAACAATTAGACCATGAAAATACTTAACAGAACATGCAAGTTTGTTCCACTAATTGATTTGTATGAATGTAATCCAACTCAAATTCAAGCAAAACTCCTGGTTAAAGTTGACTGAAGACAGACTATTTGATGGTCAAGCAAATAGAATACACACCCATTCTAGATTGCGATAAGGAGGATGACGCGTCAGCATCTCTAAAACAGTGCACCCAAGGCTCCATATGTCAGCTGAAGGCCCATATGGCTTGGTCTTCACAACCTGTGTTTAGAATTTTTAATAAAAAAATTCTCCATAATTGAGAACATTCGGTGTCTGACCATCTTAAGACCATGTATAAATGTCACAGACAGACAGCAGAAAAGTGGCAATAGGCATAACAAATAAAATGGATAAGGTTAACATTTGTATTTCAGTTCAAACAAATATTGATCATGTAAATGAGCATCAGCAGAACATGTCACTAAATGTCTTGATGTCTTTAGTGTTCTGGCAGTGCTTTCAATTGTGTCAGCTTATCATGCACTGTATTTCATTACGTAGTTATTTATCATGAAACCAAAACTTTGTTCCTAATTTCAGCAACAAATTCAATCTAATTCTTAATTGCAATTATTTTTTTGTAGTGACTTACTGAATTTATTAGGACAATAGAAAGAGGTAAATTTAATCAATAAGGGCAAACTTGGTGTACAAGGCTCCGATCAATATGGGATCTCGGGAGGATCCATGTCAAATTAAAAGAATATCTTCTATAAAAAGGTCTTAAGGATTTGATCAGCTGAACATCGAATTTAGAAATAAATTTGAAACTTGTTTTTCTGCATTTAAGTATGTCGAGAGAGACTAGCAATTCTGGTGTATTGCAAGAAATCAACATCAGTCTCAGTGATTCAGGCTTTTTTTTTTTCACAGCATCAAGTGTGAATCAGCAAATTCTTATCCATGTTTAACCAAGTTCCATGTAAATGCACAAAAACAACTTCAACTTGAGAGAAGATACAAAGTTACTTGGCTTCAATACTCAACCATTATTTTTTTCCATTGTTATGAGACTGACACAATACTCTTTAAATCATTGGAACTGTACATGATCTTTCACTAGGTGATAGCAAGATTTAAATGTCTGTTACTGATTCATGTCCTTGATTAAACAGATACAAAGGTACTGGTACCACCACCCATACCATGTGTCATTATGTGATGGTATAGTTGATGCTGATCGGAAGTTCAATCACCTTTTTATTTCATTTTTTGTCTCAATTATTCTTAATATATCTTTGATGTATTTTGAATGATACCACAAAAATATAAAATAACTCCTGAAACACAAGTTCATTAACTATATGTCTGTTCACAAGTCAATATGCCATATCTTTTCGGCATGGTCCCTGCCAATACCAAAACAAATACTGTGGTGTATTCAGAGGTTTGTGGCTTGAGGACAAGCTTATAATTTTGTAAAACCCATAAATCATATTTTCCCTGATGACATTTGGAATTAATGGTGGGATTAGCTAGATATACATTGATCTTGGTTGGATATGCATGGTCCTTGTCTAGATTAATTCCTTACAAATCTAGGTTGGATATGTGACTTCCTAGATTAATCTGTGTGAATTCAACCTTAGCCAATATTCACTTGGATATAGACTAAATGTACATGGATCTTGGTGAAATTAACATGAACTTAAGTTGGATCCACAAGGATCTAGTTTATATTGTATGGATCCAACCAAGATCTGCATAAATTTGGGCTTGATATGAATAGATCCTATCTAGATTCAAGTAGATCTACACTTGAAGTGCATAGATTTGACCTTAGCTAAGAAACCTTACACATGTCATTCAAAAGCAAAATAAGCACAAAAAACTAGAGAAATAACTTCTGAGTTACCTTATTTTCGTTCTTCCATGATTCAAGTTGGATTTGAAAAAAGAAATATTCTCTAGAAAAGAAGGCTTATGAAGGAGAAAGAAAATGTTGGAAAGGGGAAGTTTGGAACGAAAATGGGTGGGAGGAATATGGGTACTGCACAGCTTATCACCGATAGGGTTGCCTTGTTGGTTGAAAACCAGGCTTACAATCTGGATTTCTTGGCTTAACGAATAGTACCCTGTTACGAACTGGCACCACCTGAGAAGATTCAATCCAAGTACTGCTTTGTTGTCATCCATGGGTCAAACTGTTTCACAATATTTCCCATTGCTTGCTCATTTGCAGAAACTTGTCATTTCACTTAATACGATATTCAATTAAAAATTTGGCATTAAATTGTGGGTGCAGTTTAGACCACACCAGCTTAATATGTGCAATACAGACATTTGACAGGAAAATTTTGTTATAGGTTGTTATCTATGCTATCATAACCAGAAAATATAGTTATTTTCCCATAAAAGCAAAATGTCAAAACTACTGGTTCCCGCCTTCAATTGCAAATCACTATATTGTGAATAAAGCAACTAACTGTTGGTGGATACTTCATGGTAAAGCTAAAGATTATTTTAAATGAACTCTTGAAACAAAGGTTATATAAGTTAGAATTAACTTGCAAATTTGTCTTAATAACTAAAATATTTTCTTCAAGTAGAGCATTGACAAATTTGTTGCACATCCTATGTGGAAAAGTTGAATTGCTATTATATGAAAATATATTGAATAAAAGGCTACAGGCTACCTCTGGGGCCATCCAATATACAGTTCCTTTGCACGATTTTGCCCAATTCAACTTAGATATCTGAAAGATGCACAATATATCAATACAAAATGTTAACTGCCCTTTAAACTCATAAAATGCAAAGATCAAGAGACAAGAAAGACCTCTTTTGCCAGGCCAAAGTCAGCAAGCTTCACTGATCCATTTGCATCAACCAAAATATTTGCACACTTGATGTCTCTGTCAATAGAAGGCAAAGATACAATTTTCTTTAAAATGAAAATTGAAAACAACTGCTTGAATGCTCAGAGAAATAGAAATATAGAAGGCCAAAATTACAGAAAAAATATGGATTACGAGACTACGAGAATCAACACAAACATACTTTGCCAGTTTCTCTACTTTAAGCGAAGGTCGCTTCAGATGCCTAGATATATCCAATTAGGAGAACATTTCATAATTAATGCCTATATTGAAAATTTTGAAGTACCCAAATGCTAAATGTGTTTGTTTGTATGCAGGGTGGTAGACACAACTTATTGCACAGAAACCTAATACATGTAATTTTCTACAATGCCGAATGGTTGTTGCAAGCAAACATAAGAATCAGGATTAAAAAAAAAGATTTTATAATACATCTCAAGTCGTGTGCTTTCTAATAAAAGCTGGCCCTAAAGAATTTTCTTTCTAGTTGCACAAAACAAGGCTCCAGTCTTTCATACTATCAGATCCTGAAATATGGACTGAGATACCTGCATCTGATATAAGAGACCTGTTGCAGAAAGAATAACAACTCATGTTCTTCATGGAACTTATTGACTTGAGTGGAGGACATCTGCTGTCCACAAGTAAAAAAAATGGACCTTTTTGGTGGTTCTAGGAAAAGTTTCATGTTCACCTGTGCACTACGTTTTGACCATGTAGATAGTTCAATCCTTCCAAAATTTGCCTGGTGTATGCAGAAACTTGGGAGTTCTGCAAATGATACTTCTGATAAAGTGAAACTAAGGATCCTTGAGTAGCAAGTTGAAGGAAAATGTACAATTTTGAAACATCCTGCAAAAAATCACATGAATATTTGATAATCAATTATCATCATATAGCTGGCCACACTTTCTAAAGATGAAATTGTATTGGCCACACTACATATAGGATAGAATTTTGCTTTTTTGCTTATGCTGTTCAAACAATTCTTTAATGGTATAACAGGTTTCATAAATGGTTTTGTGATGTAGCATCCCATATCATTCAAAGAGTTAAATGGTTCAACACTTCGAATACCAATCCATGTACCTCACCAATTTGGCCAGAGTCAGCATGTAACTGGATTGGAGAACTATGTTATTCGAAAGATATCATCCTAAATAGACATTACAAGTGTAATATTACTGTATTGTTCAAGACAAAAGCAAAATAGTAGTTTGCACCCAGAAAAAGTTTTCTCAAGCAACCAGTTGTTACATGCACTTTTGTCGGACTAGCAAGTTGCATTTTATGTGGTTGCTCAAGAAGATTGAAGAACAGAACCACCTAAAAATATTCTTTTACTACAACATCTAGGAAATTTTGGCTTATATGATGATAATAAGGATCTTTGCTTGCCACCCTCTTTTTAAAGTTAGAACATAATTTAATTTCTTTACTGACCCATTTCTAGCCCAACTTGTTGCATGGTCAAGATTTCTCTGCATTAAGGTTTCAGTATCGCTCATATCTCAAAAAATCAGCCTGATTTCTGTGCATTAAAGTTTCATTTTACTGATTCTTAGCCTGGATGCAACAAGGGTTTTTTTCTCAACTAATCCTTGAGTTTTCAATATTTAAATCAGTAGCAGTTATAAAAGGTGTAATAATCGTTATGACACAAAGAAAATAGTTGCCAGTAAATAGACAGCTATCCATGGAAACTTTGTTATCATAATAGACTATTATGAACAATCAAGAGTCAATTAGCATCATGTTACAATTTAGCCTCTTACTGTTTCACAGCTAAGCAATATGATACACGTAACGTCACTGAACTATGAAACTAGTAGACTCTTGTATTTTTCAGAGAGCTGTTATTTATAATCCATACCTAAACAATTACACTTTAAAGTCGTTCCTAAAAGGCCGAGCCTTGATACCACTGTACGATTGCACCTCTGCAACCTAGATGAAGAAGTCACAAGTCATGGAAATAGTCATTCTGCTTGCAAGGGTAAAGCTTTGTATCTTGACCTTCCTCATTTTATGTTAGTGGAAGTCTAATACACTGGGCTGCCAATTTTTGATTCATAGATTTTAGGATTAGCTAAATCTGATCGGCAGATTCTATGAACCACACAAGTGCCTACAGTGTTCTTGCAAGCAATAAGAAGAATTTTTTGGACAGGTGGACAGTATGACTCATCTCAAACTAAAACTGAAACTAAGAAATCTAGTTCTTTTCATCTATTCATTAACTAGTGAGCAAATTTATAAGATGAACAATCAAGTGATTTCATTTAAAAATATGATAAACACCAAAATTATATGAGTATATAATTCAGAAAGTACATGATCAAAATAAGGGTCGACTTTGCCATGAGCACAGAGAAGTTAGTAAGAGCTCAAAGAAAACGTGGCCTTCCCCAAAATTTTCAATAATTACTGTTGTTCTTTTTCGTAACTGTGGAGTACATCAGGATAATTTCATGAGTAAAAATATATGATCCAGAAACATGCATAACTTGGGTTAAAAATCAATTTAGCAGACTGGACTTTTGACTTCTAAGTAGTTGTATCAATTTAAAGAACCAGATTGTCAGCTCACACCATCCTAGGCTGTCTTCTTTAACTCTTACATATGTGCAGCATGTTAAAACCATCTAGCAGGCATTATGCAAAGAAGAGTTTGATACATTTGTCACATTAAGATATGGACAGTAAGGATGAAAACAAACAACACTAAATGTAAGAGAACTTTGGTTTATTTCTTTTAAGCAAAACGATAGAAAAGAATAATAACTTTGTGTTCCATATATTTACATCTTGAAGGAGGAGATTTTTCAGAAGACCAAATTTATCACATTCATCATATTTCAGGCTTAGCATCTCCATATTTGATGCATCAATCAAGAAGAAATATTAATACAGGCTAAAATCAGACAAAAAAAATTCAGATGACCTTTTATTTACATACCTTGTCCATGCCATAAAATTGAATTAGATTTTCATGTTCAAAACGACACAAGAGTCCAATTTCCTGAAGGCAAATGAGTTGATATTAGAACAGAGATATGCTACATACTACAGAAGTTATGTAATCTAGGAAAAACTAGTAAAGCTTCAAGTGCTCAAGTAGAAACTGGATAAACATCTTTTTGCGACATATGACAGGAAAAATGTTTCTGCAGCCTAATGGTAGAATAAACGTCATAAAGCCTCACCTGCTCCAGCTGATAAATACATTCTTTGGCATCATTTCCTTGGTCAAGCAAGGAGACTTCTTTGACAGCAAGAAAAAATCCATCACTGGAAAGATGAATTTGATAGGAAAATGAGATTTAGGAGACTCTGGTAACTATTTTAGTGCAACGCTAACGTAGAAATACTTTTAACATATTTGAGTAAAACTGGAAAATTTTGAAATAATTTCTTTATATGAAGAAAAAAGAAAATATCCCATTCTAGAAACTTACCTGTTGGCATATGATTCAGAAGCAGGATCAGAGGGACAAATGGCAATGCCTTGCCATCCTGTCCCTGTTCATATGCCCAGCAAATAAGCATACAGGTAACAGTAGAAACTAAGGAAAAGTGCTTCTTGTAAAGAAGTTAATTTGTACGATATGAGAAGCAAAGCCAGTAGCTTGGGATGTTATCCAGAAAAGGTATATTAGAAAGACCACGGAATATACAACAGAAAAGAAAACATAATGGACCACTAATAATTTCATCAAATATATTTTGGTCAATGAACATGGTTCAATTAATTCAAAGAAAAAGCAAGTATCCAATATTGTAATGACTACAAGTTCTCTGTGAAGATGCCTCATGTTTTTTACAGCATCATGCGGTTTACATATTGTAGTAAAGGTTGAGGTTTTAAGAACAATATACTCTGTTTTACAAAGCATAAAAGATCATTGTTAAAGCTCCAATATTTCATACATATACACATATATAAAGTATGTTTAAAGAATTACAGCTATAATTAAAACCCAATATAATAATTTTCCTAATAATTAGATGTGAAAAAGTGATAATAACATGCAGATGCAGCTCATAATTGTTGTAGGTGCTAGTAATGCAACAGAAGAATCTCTACTTACGCACTGATAGCCTCATACACCGTCCCGAACGAGCCGCTTCCAAGTCTACCGCCTCTTGTCCAAGACTTGATGCTCCTCCTCAAAATTGCATTAGGTGAGACGGTAATCACCGCCACAGCAGAAGAGTCACTGGCGCTGGCCGAAGTCGACCCAGTAAGCTCTTTGTCTGTATCCCCCGACCTCAGCCTCAATTTCTCCCCATCGTCGCTCATCCCATCCTCTTCAGAACCAAAGGGCCTCCTCTCCAAGCAAGTACTCGTAGCGGCATCATTACCGTCATCATGCTCAGGGGCCGGACGTTCCTCTTCCTCGCCGGAAGCAAAAGACCTCACAATATCCCAAGTCGAGGTCCCGTCGTCGACATGAGGCAGAGAGATCGGCGGCGGAGGGTTGAGAGTCAATCTCGAAATCTTATTCGGAAGGGTGATCTCCAATCGCTTAAACCCTCGTCTAATACCTTCAACGCCTCTTCTAGTGCCAATAGGAAGCTGTTTTTTGTCCCCGGCCTCATCATCGACGACTAGCGTCCGTCGGTCGTCAATAGCATCGAAAAAATTGGAGGCTGCTAAGAGAGTGGGCGGCGACCGAGAGAAGGAATCGCGGGAAGGGGGGAAGAGGAGTAGGTCGGAGGACGAGCGGGCCCTTCGCGCCTCCTCCCAGACGGAGGTGGGGATGGCGAAGTCCTCCGGGCCGGAGAGTCCGAGGCTGCGGCAGATGAGGTCGACCTCGCCATCGACACCGCCCATCCGGAAGCTCGTTATGGTGGAGTACGCGGCAGCGGGAGGGTGCGGATCGAAGTGGGTCGAGAGGCGAGGGGATTCTTCGCCGGCAGCGGCGGTGGCGGGTTCGTAGTGGACGTTCTTGATCGCGTTGCTACGGCCCAACCTTCGTCCGCTGCCGCTGCCGTCGCCGCGCGACCTCGAGCTCTCGCGCTCCATGCCGTGCGCGCTCGCTTCTCTCGAGCTCTGTCGCGTGGTGGCCTCGTTGGGCTCGGTTTGACTCCTGCGGAGGACGCGGTGAGGGCGGAGGCCATCTCAACACCCCAACCCGGACAACAGCCGAGATTTTTTAAACGCGTTGCCTTTTTTTATTTTTATTTTCTTTTCGCTGGTCGCGCTCGGGTGGAGATTCTCCGCGCGTCCCTCGCTCACGAAACCGACGTACTGAAATCACCCGGGAAATAAGTCACGCGTGACGTGTCGCCTCTCACTGGCCAGGCAGAGGCTCACTCCCTGAGCTCACTGCATCGGCTGTGAGAACACGTCGACCCCGACAAATTCGGAGGTGATTCAGCGCCTCGTGCGTAGTCCGCTCTTCGATTCCCCGCGTGCCCGTGACAAAATCACCGCGTAGGTCCCCCCCCCCCCACACGTCACCCTCGCGGAGCAACTCGGTCAACCCATCGTGTTTTATTTGCCAAAAGCGATTAAAGAACAAAAAGAACGGGTAGCTCTTGCCGGTCTCTCACTCTCTCGACCTTCACCGTAAGGCGATGGACCCCGCATATCCAATTCGGATGTTACCGTCGAATTGGTGAGGCTTATCGTCTCGTGCTTTTCCTACCTTTTTCCCCCCCCACCGTGTCCTCATTAAAGCAAGAAAATGGAAAAAAAAAAAAAATTTCTAACCGGGCCTACCTTTTCCCCCGTGGCATATAATCCTCGATCGAGTTGAGCCTTACACAATCTTGAATAGATCAAACTCGAAGCGAGCTCGAACTCAAATTCTAAGTGTGCAGAAACCCCAACTTATAATGATGTAAATAGATGAGGTGGCGAGGAACGAAGAGGCGATTTAAATGGAGATAATCCCATTAGATTTAAATATAATGCTACGGTTTAGATGGATATAATCCAATTAGATGTACATACCTGATATTTATCATATTGTTTATGTTCAAAATTAAGTCAAAACATTTAAGAGGCTTAACCACGGAACTAATTAGTTTGTTGCGATCTCAGAGGAGCCAAGTTTGAGTTGAATTCATGCTTGAATTCAAGTTTTTCATGACGTTTGTGGCTCTACGATCACAACTTGTCAACTTTTTATTATACGCGCCTATCAGTTCAGTAATATGCCACCTATTATTGTTATTGTAACATCCTATTTTTAATTCCACTAATATTATATATGTATGATTAAAATAAGATATTATTTTTTGATTTACTACTACTATTAACGATAATATAGCGAAAAGCAGGTAAATTTGAAACATATTAGCTTACCAACAAAACGACATGGTTTCTCCTTATGATGTTTGATAGGTGTACATAGTTAATAATTACTATGTTTGATAGGTGTAAAATAGTTACTATGATGTAATAATTCATTAAGTATAAATCTCTATAGTTTTATTTAGGTGACTATGCATGTAAAGCATAAAACGTTTCAAAATCATATTTATAAAACTGCTTATGGCAGCATCATCTTCTTGTAGCCTCTTTAGAAATATTAACCTCCTAACATAACATTTGTCTAGTTAAGAAGATCAAATTTTGATTTAAAATAAATTGGAGCACATATGTGCGAGAGTATGTTATAGCAAATACAATAAACAATTATGATACATCTATGAACTCTCATATGTCTCATTATATATGTGCACACTAACATCATTTGTCGTATCTATGCATAAAATATTTCATCATAAACATTTCTTCTTATTATCTTTTTTTTTTTTTGACAATATACAACCTTATAATATGATAAATGCATAAGAGATAAAAGTCTAAGTCAAAGAAAATTATAAAATGCTTATATGCAAGAGTAATTCATAGTATATACAATAAAAAATCATAATACATATATGAACTTATACACAATGAATCATAATATATATATATATACTCCAATAGTACATGTCATATTATATATGTATATTTTTACATCACATATAACATATATGTGTACTTCCATATCATACGTCTTAACATATATATAAATTATTACATTATAACATATATATGCACTTTCAAGCTTCATGTCACTGTTAGGAACGAGTCGACATTAAAAGGAGGGAGTGAATTAGTACAGCGGTAAAAATTACGTCGGTTTGAAATTCTCATTGCGATTAAACCCATTTCGGAAGATGTTAACTTGAAAGCATACGGAAGAGTGTAGTGGATGTAAAGCAAGTAAAGAAGGACAATTTGCAGTAAATGTAGATTGCAAGAAGTAAATGCAAACCAAGTTATAGTAGTTCGGTCGTCATTACCTACATCAACTTCACCGATTTCTCTTCCGTCGAGGCCAACGGCATTTACTAACGATCTTCCTTTAATAGGCAAAGATCAACCTCCTTCTTACAACTCTATTATTTTTTTGCAGGTTCAGGAGAGAACCTTTACACCCCCTTTTTACAAAACTTCCCTCACACTCTCCTTTAAAATGGTCTCTAAACTTTAGGAGGAGGAACTCTATACTTTATAAGGGTTTTCAACTCTAGAAATGCAGAGTTTTTATTCATTTTTCTTGATTTTTAATGCAGAAATAGCTAGGGTATTTATAGACCCCAAATGGCTTCAAAAATGGAGTCAAAATTCAAATCCCCTAAAATTCAAGGTACGGGCGGTACCACCGTCTGCAATCTGACATTGGGCGGTACCACCGCCCAATCTGGCGGTACCACCACCTAGAAGAATGTGTCTGGGCAGTACCACTGCCTAGACTGGCAGTACCACCGCCTGACATAGTCTCGGAGATTGTGCCACGACGGTTTCACCTGTTTGGTCACTATTTGGGCCTTTCTCTTGGCCCAACATAGCCCAAACTTGGGCCCAACTGTCTCCTAATTGGGTTGGCCCAATTCTAATCTCAACTATATGCTAACTATAAATTTTAAGATATTCACTAAGCTAAATAAAGTCCGTAAGTCTAGGTTTCTTTCGGTGAGCTTCCGGCGATCTTCCGGCGAACTTCCGACGATCTCTCGGCAATGTTCCAGCGAACTCACGGTAAGCTCCTGGACTTCATGATGATCTTATTAGTGAGTTTTGATGAGCTTCTTTGGCAAGTTCCTGGACTTCTCAGTTAATTCCGGCAGAACTTTCGATGAACGTTCGGACTTTCGATGAACTCTCGAACTCCCAACGAAATCACATTCTTGACTCCGGGATTTCATTTTACTTTATGCCTTGCTATCATAGTTAATCCTGCACACATAAAAACCTACTTTAATCTAGACAATTAATACTAAGTTAATCAGATGTTGTCCGGCATGTCATTGGTTCATCGACGCCTCGTCTAATTGTTCGGCGCATCGTCCTCTCTTGCGGCCTATTGCCCAATCGGCCAGTTGACCTCCGCAACTCCAATTTCCTTAGTGCAATATCCGCTTTCTTAGCCCTATGCCCGAACTCATGGCCCGAAGCCTTCTATCGATACATGGACTGATTCTTTGGCTCGACGTTCAATCTTCTAACATGTTTTTCTCCGGCCCAACATGATTCTTCCTACTTTAATTGTCTCTCCATAATCGAAGCATCCTGCATCACTCAAAACGTAGATCAAATCATAAATACCATCAATTGGTTTCATCATCAAAATCTGAGATTCAACAATCTCTCCCTTTTTTATGATGATAACCAATTGATGATGAAGTTAACCTTAACTCCCCCTATCAATATGTCATATTGATATAACTTTTGGATTCAAAAATTCAAGCAATATGTTATCATAAACTTATACATAACATCATACTTCTCCCCCTTTGTCATCAACAAAAAGGAGAAGTGCAACTTTCAAGTGTTTAAGATATAATGTCAAACATTGTATTTATCATCATGCAATTTGTAAGCTAAAAAATTTAGCAAGTATTACATCATATTAGAACATGTAAGCTAGCCGATTTTATATCACTTTACAACATGCATAATCACCAAATCATCATTAATTTTAAAGATGTACATGATTGTAAATTTTACGAGTTTTTATTTTTAATTCTTAAGATAGGCTTGCCAATGATGTTCAAGATAGCAAGCTCTTTTGAAAAGCACCATTTTTGCTTCCTTTGCAAAGTGTAAGCTAGCAAAATTTTACATTATTTTACAATATGCAAGCTAGTAATTTGGCAAGTGTTACTTCTCTTTGAAGTATGAAGGTTAGTAAGTTTTTAAAAAATAATGCAAGATAACAAGCTAGCAAGATACAATATTTTTCATAAAGCAAGCTAACAAGTTTTGTATTATGCAAGCTAGTGAGTTTTTTTTTATAAACTTTTTACACCTTTTGATATATACAAGATAGCATGTTTTTGCATCTATATGAAATGTATAACTTGTTGAATCTCGTATTTTGATGATGAAACCACTTGATATGTGTTTATGTTTTTATCTGCGTTTTGAGTAACGCAAGATGTTTCGATCAGGATGAGACAATTAAAGCAGGAAAAATCATGTTGTGCCGAAGGAACATGTCAGAAGATTGGACGTCGGGCCGGTGGATCGGTCGACGTATTGACAGAAGGCTTCGGGCCGTGGACTCGGGCATCGAGCCAAGAAGAGCGGGTATTGCGCCAAGGATATCAGAGTTGCAGAGTCAACTGGCCGATTAGGCAATAGGCTGCAGGAGAGGACGATGCGCCGAAGAATCGGACGAAGCGTCGGGGGACCAATGACATGCCGGACAACTTGGTTAATTGCTTAGGATTAATTGTCTCGATCGAAGTTTTGTTTTACATGTGCAGGATTAACTATGATGGATGTAAGACATGCAGCAGAAGTTGCACCGGAGTCAAGACTATGATCACGTTGGGAGTTCGAAAGTTCGACGAAAGTCCGGACGGTCATCGGAGGTTCTGCGGGAACAAATCTGAGAAGTCCAGGAGCTTGCCAAAAGAAGCTTGTCGGAACTCGCCAAGTGGATCGTCGCAAGTCCAGGAGTTTGCCGGAAGTCCGTCGGAGCATCGCCGAAGGTTCGTCGGATGTTCGTCGGAAGTTCGCCGGAAGAAGCGATTGATGCACCGGAGTAAGTTGTAGTAAATGTCTTAAGAAATGTGGTAGTTAGCATGTAGATTAAGTTAGAA